TTGGCGGGAGCTTAATTTTAAGTTTTTCAAGCTGCTGAAAATCAGGTATCTTTGCAATTAGGGTTTCCTGGGAATAAATTAATAGCAAATGAACACCTATCAAGGGACTTTCCAAACACCAACAGAAGAGCTAAATGATTTACGTAACTTCCCAATCGTCCATCAGTTCAGAGAATATTATAATCTCTCAGCCACATCATCACCCTTAAATTGCTCACTCATGTTTGTTCTCTGCCATTTTGCCTTTGTTCTGTGATGAAGGCTATGTGTCTTGCAGCCTTTTTTGGGGGGACACAGGTTAAACTGTAGCTCAGAATTCACAACACTGCCTTGGACTTTAAGGATGATGGAATGTATCCACCTAAAGAGGAGAACTTTTTGGGCTGGTAGCAGAGATTGCAGACGCAGAGAAACGCAGGCGCATCACACCCAGTACATTTTCCGAACCGCAGACAGGCCCCTAGCAGAGCTCACAAGGTCAGGGTTTCCCTGACTGCACAGCTCAGTGCCGCTGAGGCACGAAAGCCAGGCTTGCCATTTAAGTAAGAGAGGACTACACGAGCTGAGCGTGAGCAGGGCCATTTTCTCTGCAGTCTTTTCGGGGTCTTAATAACAGTTCTGTGCATTAAGATTTTCAAGAGGGAAAACAAAGCTCAATCTTCTTCAAAACATATATCGGATGCCATTTTTATGAGGCGTATGACAGAAATGGTGTTGCTCAGAACTCACTTTTTGTGAGAGCTTTGTGGAAGGTAGTGCCAGCTGTGGCCTCCCCTCCAACTACTAGAAGAACTGCTTACTGCACATTTGTTGTCCTCCATAGTTATGAGGTTACACAAAGTGCACGCAGGGTTTTCATTGCTTTGGTTAGACTGTGCTCTTGTGTGTGCTCCACCAGCAGTGAAGCCCTCAACTGCGATTCACATCTACTCACTCGGGAGATTAGGAAATGTGCTATTACAATGTGACAAATAAACACTTTTTCATAATATGCTAACTAAATTTAGGACACCGGGATTGACTCTCTGTGTGCTCCTCAAGCAGCCACTTAACTACTCAGGCGTCTAGCAAGGTAGGAATGGGTAGGTTTGTATGTGAAGAGCAAAGTTTACAATAGCATTAACCCATTTGCTAGGCAGCCCTTATTTCAGAGCTTTCTTTGCTAGAAGTGTCTGTCTCTACAGACACACGAAGCAGCAATTTCCTCATCAGATTGGCCCTCAGCATCATTTCTAACCTAAAGATCAGTTTTTTCTAACCTATCACCTACTGTTCATTGATATTCAGAAAATAAATGGTTGACTACATATGCACCACCAGGTTATGTTTTATAATGGTAAATAGGTAATTAGCACACATATAATGCACACCCACATTGTCTTATCTCTTTAACTACATCTTGCTTTTCTAGAAGGCATAGCAAGTGACTTGATTTTCTTAATTTAAGAAACAAATTTAAACTGCTATCAAAATGTAATCTGCACTAATCCAGATATGGTTAAAAAAATAAAAATAAAAAGTATAAAGCTATGCTATTCTTAAGTATTTACATTAACAAGATCATTTTAAAGCACTCATCAATTGGCATTATCAAAATCAGATGGGAAATTTCTAGAGCATGGACCTGAAGAAGATAGGTTTAGGATGAGATGTGAGAATATAGACACATATAAAAGCAATAACTGAGTGTTAGCACACTGGGGTAGGAACCTACACACTGGAAGAAATTCACAGGACACCCCAGCGACTGAGATAGAGATGCCTTTAGAGCGGCTGGCTATGCTTCATTATCTTCCATTCTCCATTCTATCTAAGCTCAACCAGGTACCCACCTCTAGATCTGAGCTTGTCCAACACACACACACACACACACACACACACACAAATAACCTGTAACTCTTGGAGAAGAACAAAGTTTCTAACCTCAATCCAGCCTCATTTCTCTATAGGGATATGTTTCCCTAGCTGTGCCTTGGGGATAAGAACTGAGCTGGCCTGCCATTGGATGAGTTACCCCATCACCTCTGTCCGCCGTGATTAGCCCCTGCAGTTACCAAATCCTGGAGATATCTTGACTTCTGACCTTATTTTTTGAGGGGGGTCACTCAGTTTGAGTTCCCAACTATCCCAGCTCTCCTGCCCGTTCTTTATCCAAGAGAAATTAGGACATACGAAATTAGAAAGTGTAACACAAACCATGTTCCCATCTTGCCCCTCCCCTTTCAGACTCTCTAAACTCCCATCCCAAATGACCTGCCACTACCCAGGTGCCACTGCCAGGCCATTTGCCATCACACAGTCAGTACTGTCTGAGATTTCTGTCCGCTTCCCCCATAGCCTATAATGAAAGAGAACAGATCTCTGCTGGGCGAACCTCCGCAGCTGAGGTGTTTGCTGTCAATGGATAAAGCAGCAGCAACCTTTGCCTTCTGAGCACTCAATTACTTGTTTGTTATGTTTTGTTTTTTTCCATTTTTGTCTTTGGCAATTGTTCATGTCTGGGAGTCCCTGGAGTTGGTATCATAAAAAGCATTCAGTTAAAAGCAAAAAATAAAAACCTTTTTTTTTTACCTTAAAATAAGTCTTACTAATAACTTTCATAACACACTTGCCAAGAAGAAGTTCCAAAGATCTTAAACTGAGGTAAACTGCCATGCTGTGGGGAGCTAAGGCCTGTTTCCCTCAACAGATGTGGGGAGAGGAGGCTTATATCATTTTACAGCCTTTTAAAAAAGGAAGCATCAAAGTGACGTAGTCTTTTTCTTTCCCCCCAAAGGAAACTTTAAATTTGAAATCTCTGATAACTAACTGAAACTCTAAAAATATGAGACTCCCTTCCAGAAATGTAGTCATGCCAACAATACTCACAGGTACAAATGTTCTCAACTTAAAACAGGAAGACAAGAAAAATGTGCGGCAGACTGTCTTGAATTTTCACTCAGATCTGCAGTCATTTTCGGTGCTGGTGCACGCCTTCAATCCCAGCACTTGGGAGGCAGAGACTGGTGGATCTCTGTGAGTTTGAGGTCAGCAGATGTACAGAGTGAGTTCCAGGACAGGCTCTTTTAAAGCTACACAGAGAAAACCTGTCTCAAAAAGACAAAAAATAAAATTAAAAAATAAAAGAAAGAGAAAAGATTGCAGTCATTTTGCCCACAATAAATATGCTGTAACCAAATTAACAACCACAGTTGTCCAGTGAAGGATGAAAATTCGGAGCCTCTTATTGTAGACTCAATAATTGTGCAAGGCAGAGAGGAGTGAAATGTTGACCCCATTATGAAGCATAAGGGCGTTACCAGACACACCTGAGATGATGTGTCCTGAGGAGCTGGAACCACGCAACCCACTACCAGCCTTGATTCTGCATGACGTCAGTCCCTGTGTTCACAGAGCCTCAACCATTGATCACCTGATCAACAGAGCTAGCAACAGAACCTACTTTGTTGGGTTATTATGGGGAGTAAATGTCACAAGAAAATCATTTAAAAATAATGGTCGATTACGGTTGCTTGGGAAATTTTAAACCAAGTACATTTTTCTGCCAACACTCCGTTACATGTAATCTGGGCTGTGCTCAGATACAAGCCAGAGCATAGAACTTCAAGGGTTCCATTGGAAAGTAATGAAAGCAAAGAGTCTGCTGTCTCCTCCAACTCTGGACTGTGTAGACCAGCATAGGCTAAGTAAGACAGTGTCAAGTTCTCAACAGTTCAACCAAGTTCCACACCGAACACTGAGGACAACAAAGTCATTGTCCTCATACTTTCCTTGGGTCAGGCTGTCTGGAAGTCTACAACAGCATTTCTTAGCCCATGCCTTATGCGTGCTGTCTTCTTTCCTTACTGCCATTGAAACTGTGCTCCTGAACTATCAGCTATGAGTCCATTCTGTCGATCTGGCAAGAAAGTTTGGTTTTCTTTGAAAAGTCCTTTGGTGACACATAAGGCATTCCTTAAATACAACATCTTTGTTGTACTGAAGGTATCCCAGCTTTCTATGCAATCCTCATGTGAGCAAGTACCTCTCTAATCTCAGAAGGATTCTTTCTCTGTAGGAATGAAGATTCTTTATTCTGTTGAAATAGGAGCGGCAGGGCTGCGTCCCTGGCACCCGGCCGCCCGCATGGCTAGCTTATGCCCAGAAATAATTACACGGAAACTGTATTCTTTCAAACACTGCCTGGCCCAGCTAGTTCCAGTTTCTTATTGGTTAGCTCTTTCATATTGTTCTAACCCATTTCTAATATTCTGTGTAGCCCACGAGCTGGCTTACCAGGGAGGATCTTAACCTGCATCTGTCTGGAGCGGGAGAATCATGGTGACTCCTTGACTCAGCTTCTTTTTCCCAGCATTCTCTTCTGTTTACTCCACCTACCTAATTTTCTGTCCTTTGAGGGCCGAGGCAGTTTCTTTATTATTAACCAATGAAATCAACATATAAGATACAAGACCCACCTCCATCATTATTCTATTAAGGCATAAGAAAATAACCCATCCAACTGAATGGAGAAACAGAATTTTGACATATACCCAAAAGTCTCAGGGCCACACCTCCTATGCAAAGCATATTCCAGTTAACTTCTGCTAGGAACATGTCCCTCATTCTAATTGCTAAAGTCTTATCCCAGTCTTTATGTCTGTCTTCCATTATTAATCATGCATTTATTTTCTATTATTATTTTGGATTCTAATATAATCTATGAATATGTCACCTATATTCTCCATTGATTAGAAACACTTCAGAGGCTGAATCTTTTTCATTCCAAAAGAATTCTGTTGTTTAACATATTTATTGAACATCCGCAATAGCCATTTATAATGAGGACTTAAAGCTGGACAAGGTGACGTTCTAATTCCATTCAGTAGGTCAGGAAGGGCTCATGATCAAATAGTGCAGCGTGGTTCTTCATTTTTCTTTTCTTTTTCCCCGCTGGAACTAGAATTAGCCACAATTTCACCTTAAACATCAATGATATCTTTGGTTTTTCTTCTCCCCAGGATAGTGGCCAGAGCCTCCAAGAATCTCATGTCCACGCAGAGCTTAGGGATTGTATTTGGACCCACCCTTCTGCGAGCTGAAAATGAGTCGGGGAACATGGCGATTCACATGGTATACCAGAACCAGATAGCGGAGTTCATGCTGAACGAGTATGATAAGATCTTCAACTCAAAGGAAGACTGACAGACCAGACAAGCCACTGAGTGTGTTCACATCTGTCTTGATGCCTAATATTTTTACATTTCTGTAAACATATTTCTGAAATATTTTTTTCCTTCCAAGCGACAGATGCTTCATTTTGTGAAAACTTCGTGATGATTTTGTATCTAAGTTCCAAACATTTGAATAAAATAAATGACAATATTTTCCTATATGTGTTCTACATTAACCCTTTGAGTGTTGCTCCCCTTAGCATTCTAGGAATACATCGTAAATGTCTCACACTCTTAAATAGTGTGTACAAGACAGCACCAATGCATAGCTCTACTACTGAACCTTGGCATCATGTGTGTGCTGGTGTGTGTGCAGATTTGTGAGCATGCAGAGAAACTGTGGGTAAGATTGAGAGTATGGACATGTGTACCCTATCAAGATCCATGTGCACCAATGCATCAGCTGTGTCCCCACATGCCTAAGTACCACGGAAAGAACACTAGCAATACGAAGGCATCTCTGTTCTCAATCAAAATAGAGTAATTTCATCTTTCAACTGTACAGCCCAGTGATCGTCAGCGATGGGTGAGCTTTGCAAATACAACATGCTGAGTGGTAGCTTTTCTGAAGAACAAAAGGACAGTTCAAGAGATTTGTTTGGACTGTTCTTTCTTTGTGGGTAAAAACTATTTTGGTTCCACAAACATACGATTTTGTAAATTAAATGGATTGATCTTTATTTTACACAAGGATTGCACTGCTGTTCCACGTTGGTTCTTCATCAAATTGTGTATCTTCCCTTTCCCCGGCTATGCCATTTTATGTAGAATTTTTAATAAGTTTTGAAAGCTATTTTATTGGGGAGTTATACTAACTCCAGCTAAAAAGAACTATTTTTAAATGCTTGTACTATTATGCCCTAAGGATTCCTTGACTAGACTCATTTTATTTTACCATTTGATGGTTATTTTCAATTGTGATTGATTCAATGAAGGGATAACTGTCTAGAATACATCAAACATTGCTGTATTTTGAAAAGTTTGTTCTAGTTGAACACATCTCATGCCGGTTTATGAAAGAGTTCTGCTGATAAAAATGTAGACTTATGTTTGACAGCTTTTTAATAAACTCAAATGGAATGAATAAAGCTAATCCAGTGTGATAAGAAAGTCTAGCTATTGATTTAATCCTAAAACGAAAAATAAAGCATGTAAATACTATGTGTGAAACATGGATCCAAGAGCAGACACTCAGAGCAATAATGAGCTCAGAGGCGTATGCTGTAGCATGGATCGGGCATCAGAGATGAGAAAGACAGCCTTAAGAGACAGTCAGATGTTCAAGTACCAGCATCCGCAGTGCTGCCCAAGGACACTAGCTTGAGGACAGACACAGTAAGCTTGATCCTCTTGAATGTCTTTATTTTAGTAAAGGTGCCAATACATGAGCTCACAGCCAAGAATAGTGAAGAGGGCACAATTAATTCTTCACCATGGTTTCAACAAGTGGGATGTACACACATCCTATCACAAAGCCAAGAGAAGTCCCAAGAAAGAGATTAATTATCTAAAGCTATCAGTAATAGTGAAGCAATAGGATGGCTAAGCTGGAAAAGATTCTTACATGTAAAACTGTACTTATACCTTTCAATAAAACACAGAAACATGAAACATGGGTTTCTGCCATTTATTTCTAGTCTTCCTCGAGGCTGAAACATTCTCAGTGAAGTGTCTTTTCCAAGACTTTAATTATTTCTCCTTTTGAAAAGTGAACAGCAGGGTTAGAGGCTCCAGGAGGCAAATGCTGTGTCTTCACGAATCCATCTTTAAAGTTATTCTGGAAGCTTCGACCAGAGAGAAATCAGACTGCAAAGCCAAAGAGAGTGGCGCTACCTGCTTTGAGCAGAGATTGACATCCCCTTGCCTCTGCTGCCTTCCAGATTCATAATCTTCAAAAGCATCAGCTTCTTGATTTCCAATCAGATGGGATTTAGCCTGATTCAGACCCCAGCTGTGTCCTGTCCCTGCCTGCTAAGGGCATTGCATCAGAGAACATGTTTCCTCTCTAGAGGAAGGCCTTTCCAAGGTACTGAGCCAAAGTGCCCATCACAAGCTCTCACTTGCTCACTCGAGAAGTACAGAAAGGTCGTGATATTCCACAACATTTCGGTTAGCCATGATGTCTAGAATCACTGTCCCCCGTGTTAAAGCTGAGTTTCTGCGCTAGGTTGGAGCACTAAACAATTTTATGAAGCTGGACAGTATTCTCCATTAAAACAACAACACCAAAGCAAAACTAGGAACGTTAGCAAGGGTCTCTTATTCACCTGGTCTGAGCCAGGCCCAGTTTGAGGCACTGATAATATGATTGTCATATAAAACACGTATCATGTATTACTACCCTCTGTAGGAAAGGAAGACAGTTTCCTAAGGATTAGTTACTATCCAGTACAAGATCATTGATGTTGGTCACTGGGGCAACCATGTCCACCTCAGGGTTCAACACCTGTACATAGAAATGCCCAGAGAGATGGGCAGTGCCCGTTACAGAAACTTTGAGAATATATCAGTCGGTGTTTAAGAAACAAGTTGTAATTGGGGAAACCAGATAAGGTTTCACTGTTGAGATACTCTGGGGAACCTTCTGTATAACCTTGATTACTAACATTTATTAGACTAGGAAAAATACAGAAGGCACGCCAAATAGGAATGAGGGGTGGTGTGCACCAGAACAAAAACTGAGAACGTCAGTACTTCGAGATGATATGTATATGTCTGGCGATTTGGGAAGACAGAACTACGGAAAGTGGGATGTTCAGATCTTTCTTGTAGACAGAGGCGATCCACTGTGGGTTGTAAAATAAGAGAGGCACAGAATAACTTGGACGAAGAATATCTAAATTTCCTAACGGTAAAGAGATACAAACCTATTTGAGAAGACTCCTGTTCTCTTACTGGGGCTAGGGCTCTGCAAATACATGGGTCATGTGTCTGTAACTTTTTTAAACATTTCTTAATAGTGCAATAATAACCCTGTATTCTCAGGGGCAATTATACATAACAGTAAGACATTCTAATATAACGAATAGGAACTCAAATCTGCACCTGTCTCTCTGGAAAAAATCAAGCCAGTCAGAATGCCTACTTTGTCAGGCTTTCCCCACCCAGCTTGCCAGAGATCACCTCTTTCTTCCTGGAAAAGGTGGCTCTTCCATCTTACGTGTTCTGAGTCTGGCTTCACTTAGCATGTGCCATATGACAGGATCATCATGCCACAGCTCGTAATTGAAAGCCTTGTGATGGTTCGCCCTATCCAATTAGAAAACAAAGGATCCAATTAAGAAGAAGGAGACAAGCTGTGAGAAGGAGAACCACTTGCCAATAGTGCTGTCCTCGCAGCCCAGCGCCACCAGAGAGTGACCTGCACTTCTCTCTTCCACACTTAGTTTTGTGAATTATAAGTTAATCACCCTGTCAATTCCTAATTAAAAGGCCCTGCAAAGATTTTTATCCAAAAGGACCATCGCGAAAAGTTCTGGGTCAAATTGCTCTGTTGTCAAAAATGACAAAAAAAATTCCAGAACCATATCAGCTTGGGAATGCAAATCTTAACATAATAAAAAGATATTCTTAAATTGTCGTCTCTTCAACTAAAATGCATCAACTGGTCAGTCCTGAAACCATATATACGAGTAAATTATACAAACTAAGCAGGCTGTACTTATGTATTTAGGTTTACCTGTGTGTACACATACATATATAACAGAATTAATGAAAAAGGAGGCCATGAATCGGAAAGAGAGCAGAGAGGGGTGCCTTGAAGAGTTTAAAGGTGAGTCGGGGAAGAGAGAAATGATATAATTATAATTTCAAAATTAAAAGAAATAATTTAAAAACGCTTCGTCTTATCTTTAACATGTAGATAGGTTACTCTTCGTGTGTGTATGTGTGTGTGTGTGTGTGTGTGTGTAAGTGTATGTGTGTGTTTGTTCCTTTAAACCAAGGGCTGCAAACTCAGATGCTGAGTAGGGCCAGGCATGTAGCATAAATGACTAAAGAGAAGCAGGCAGCCGGCACTATGAAGTGGTAACAGCTGGGGAAAACTCGAGCTCCCTGCCTGGCCAAAAGGCAGGCTTCCACTCAGCTGGAGCTGATGTTGCTTATGTGGGAATGTGAGCCTAGTTGCCAGACCTTCAGATCTTTCATGGGAGGCCAGAATTGAGAATCTTCTATGAAATCTGATTTTTAAGACACTAAATAAGCTACCAAATAAAACACATCTGAGCAGACTCAGCCTAAAGACCAAGTCTTTTTTTGTGGCCTCAGTGTTAAGCCTTCCAAGTTGCAGGGCTTGTTCCCCAGAAAATGGCACTCTTTGGAGTAAATTGTGGAGATAAGCGAGTGAGCCAAAGCAATGAAAGAACATACAAGCAGCAAAATATGTCGAACTTACTGTTCAAGTTCGGAGCAGATTACTTAATCTGTCTGGAACTCCCTTGCTTTCTGATTTATTAAATGTGATATACATTTTTAAATCTTGCTATCTAATAGAATAACGTGGTGAGAGCTCAAACAGGCAATGCATATCTCATAAATTGTCACTTCCGGATTTCGATGATTCATCCATAGCTTAATAATAAATAACTTTATAATCTGAAAATGATGGAAGGAAGGTTAGGACCAAACTCTAAAAAGTCTTGGATGGCGTAGCACTTCTCTAGTCGAGTTTTTACACCCTAGATCTTTCTTCAGGAACGCAACTTTACCAGAGATATTATGTTATGAAGTAAACTTTGATGCAGGGAGAAACTGCGGGCACCACTGTCGGACCGGTCACTATTGCCAAAGCCCTATTCATGCAGTCGGCATTCAGACAGGCAGCAGGCAGAGAAATTGATCTAGAGATTATCTAGCTGTTCTTCGTGAAGGTGTTACCCACATCTCTTTGTTACCATTGCTATGTAAAAAAAACACCAGTTCCAATTGGACTAAATTTCTATAAGCAGGTCCATTTCTGGATTACCTGCTGGATTGGAGGCCATGGTCCATTCTGACATTCTGGCAGTAATGCGTCATTTAAGAGTCATTAATCTATTTGGGCCAAGTCATGCCTGCTCCCAGAGCTATCCCCAGACGGTCCTGGGTCATTCCATCACTTCACACCTGCTTTCCCACTCCTTTCTCTCGACCCAGTATGGCTTCTCTCATTCCGCGCAGGACCACAAGGAAAACCGGTCCTGGGAAGATTGGTTTGGCTAGCTAACATGTATGAAACATTAGTTCCGTACCAATGATGGTCTTATTTGTTGTTTTATTTACTCCTCACAACTGTCTGCATGTCCCTGGTTCATCCTCAAAGAAACACAAATGAAAAGAGTCATGGTGCTACCAAGTCCATGTCATTAGTAACAGCCAAGGCATGATTCAAATCTAAATAATAGAGCTCCACAGGACCATGCCCTGTTTGGGATGGGTGATCTTCGTTGTCAGTTTGACCAGATTCAGACTTCTGGGGGTGTCTCTGAAGACATCTCCAGGGATATTTGACTGAAGAGATCTACTTTGAATGTGGATGGTGCTGTCCTGTGGGCTGGGATCTTAAACTGAATAAGAAAAGCCTAGGGGGAAAGGCTTTGAGCACTCAGAATTCATATGATTCGGGGACCTGATACATCGAGATGTGGGCAATGGCTCATATCCCTTCCTCACGTTGATGGATGGTGCTATCTAACTGTGAGCCAATATAATTCCTCCCTCTCATAGCGTGCTATTTTTAGAGACTTTGTCACAGCCGTGGATGAAGTAACTAATACACAAATATACCACAAGGATCTCCAGGGAATGCAGCTGGGGAAAAAAAAGGTAAGCATATAAACATCCCAAATATTTGCATTCAATGTGGGAGGGGTGCTGGTTGCTCTCTTGTGAATGTTCTTGAAGGCTTCGCCTCCATATAAACTTTCACAGACGAGCATAAGGAACATTATGTGAGTTTCCCAAAGAAACATCCAGTATTTCTGTTGCGGTAAGTAGATGACTAAACCGCCTTAAAGATTTGGCTCTATAAGATTTTAATAGTCATGTAATAGTTCATTTATCTGTTTGCTTTACCTCCATAGTTCTGACTTCACTTTATTGTGAAAAAGTCAGACAAGGAAAAACCTCTTTTCCCA